CGTCCCTAGACAAATGCGTACCTGGATAATTACGTACCTCTGATAAATTTTTGAAGTTGTCATTTTTTTTAAAAGAATTGTTTAATATCGAAATTTTCATACCAATACATTTAATTACACTAAATAAGCAGAAAAGAAGTTTCCATAAATATGAAAAAAAAAGAGAGAAAATTTTATTTTTTAAAGCAAGAGAAAATTAAGCTAGCAGTTTCAGTTCACTACAGCAGTGCGTATTAGAAACATTTAATAGATTCTGGATTTCATAGATTATATTTTTATTTGGAATCCATGGCTAAGTTCCGAAAATCAAACACTAGTGGAAAAATATTTGTGGACGAAGAAAATTACAGCTACCACAATCATAAGAAAAATGCCAATGAAACAAAAACATGCTGACGATGTGTAGAGCCATCTTGCAACAATGTTAATCTGTCATTGAAATTTAAACAAAAATAAACTTTAATTTTTTTTATTTTATTCTTTTCTGAAAAATTTATGACTATTACCCACTTTACAAAATTTATTGTAATTGCCTTTAAAAGCTTCAAGAAGTTATAAGAGACACACAATTATCTTGGGATGCATTTGTCTAGGGACGTAAATATCCAGGGTCGTAATTGTCTGGTACGCAATTGTCCGGGTTGTAAATGTCCTTCATTGCAACTGTCCTAGAACATTGGATTTCATATGCGTGTTTATATCTGATGATTTAAAAACATCCTTTTAGTTTACAGGTTAATATTTGGGTTTTGATGCCTCTTAAGGTGTTGAATAAATATATCACAAATACAAGGGATCCTGTGTTCATAGATGGTGTTGGATGTTCTCTTTGTTTTTCGTGTTTTAGATTAAAATAAAAAAATTTCGTTCAAAACGACTGACACGGTTCAGTGGTTAAGTTTCGATTATATTCTTCTTGTGATGTTACAAATTCTTTCTTTTCTGGACATATATCTTGTAAAAAATTGCCCAAATATTCTGTATAATTTATGTCCAGTAAAGAAAAAATTATAGCGCGCACACACACACACACACACAAAATTAAATGAAAAATTAACCGCATTATATTGTCAGTCGTTTATAATGAAACTTGTATATAAGAAGAATTGTTACCCAAATACACAAATATATATATATATATATATATATATATATATATATATAATAAATTGATTTAAAATATGTTTTATATATATACATACATACATATATATATAGAATGTGTGTGTATATATATATATATATATATATATATATATATATATATATATATGCAATTTTATATATATATATTATTTATATATTATATATATTATCTGTGCGCGGCACTTAATAGAAAGCGTTCAATATCAGTGATATATATATATATATATATATATATATATATATATATATATATATATATATATATTTTAGTTGGATTGATGTGAGTTTGGGAACCTGGGTTTCACGGTTTTGCAATCGTCAGTGTCTGACGATTGCAAATAGCGTGAAACCCAGGGTCACGAACTCACATCAATCAATTATATATATATATATATATATATATATATATATATATATATATATATATATATATATTGCTATACAGTAGAATGGTTTGAAATTTCATGCACCATGAAATCTTCAAGTGCTGAGTAGGGACAAACTGTTTCATAATTATATTTTAATAAAAATATTTGGCTAATGTATTGCTGGCGCAGTCCATATATTATAAGGGGATTAATGATTCAAAATAAACGATCAGTAATATGTATATTTATTAATATATTCTTGATAACTCTGTGTGTTACATTACATCGAGCAGTATTTTATTAATGCCAGCACTCAATGTGCGATATCTAATATATATATATATATATATATATATATATATATATATATATATATATATATATATACATGATTCACAAATAAAATTTTCCGAACTCATCTTCTTGACTCATAGTTTTCCATAAATCACATCCACTAATCAATGACATATATATAGTTAAATTGAATTTATTGACACATATCAGTTATTTCTTAAATGATGTTACCATATATTTTCTTGAAAACGTTATTGCAGCTAAAATCTATGAATGGAATGAAAGCAATGATAATATATAACCTGACTCCATCATAAAAAAAAAAGGTTAGAATAGAAGATAAGGAAATAGAACACAGAATAAGGTGCGGAAGTTGGTACTAAAACAAAATATTAACCTAAAAACTCGTACCATGTTCTTAAGGAAACTCGTCAAATCGAAACATATATATATATATATATATATATATATATATATATATATATATATATATATATATATATATATATAGAGAGAGAGAGAGAGAGAGAGAGAGAGACGGTGTGTTTAAAATTCGTATTCTAATCACATACACATGATCACATAACTCAGATTAATTCAGCCGCCAAGAAAAAAAGTTTGAGTTAATTTTTTTTAGATATTTTCAACATGTTTTATTAAACTTATTGGATTTATTATAAAAACTGCAGCCTGAATTTATTACGACAATCCAGAAAATCACTTTTCACTTCAATAATCAGGTAATAAAATCCTCAATAATTGATCAACGCCTATAACAGAACAAATAACAAATATATATGTTAATTCTTTGAAGCATTTACATCTTAATATAATGACCCTTTTTCTCAATAACAGTCAGTAAACTATTATTCCTTGATTTTGTTCGTTTTCTTCAACGGGTTCAATTGCCGGCATTGCTTCCCGTGGTGGTTTTAATTTGCTTTACTGTCTTATTGTTTGCAACCTTCATATAATTTCATCTTCACAATTGAACATAGACAGACCTTCTATTATGAGAGATGTAAATAGTTGTGTCATAAATACCGAATTGGTAACTGATGACATCTGGAAGGTCATTAATGAAGAAAAGAAACCAAGTACGTCTAAGGATAAAAGCTCAGCGAGCATTAATATGAAATGATCCAGAATCGTGATTGCTCAATGCGACTTGCTGTAGATGAATTTTATTCCACAATGGAAAAGATTCGATTAAAAAAAATAAAAAAATGACGACTTCGATGTACCACAAGCTTCGTTTGATGGTGTGAGGTTTCTGAATTATAGACCAACTATGAACTCAACAAAATTGTAGCGATGACAAACTGATGTTAATGTCAGACAACAGAAAAACAAATGACAATATAAGAAAAGCGCTTTTCAAAATCTTCAAAAGCCAAGTCGAGATGAATAAAAAAATATACCATACATTAAAACTATATTTTTATCATATATATATAAATATATATATATATGTATTTATAAAATATGACATTAAAAACTTTTATCCGTCTATATCTAAAAAAGGCCTGCTTGAGGCTTTGTACTTCGATAAATGTATCATAAATATAACACCTGAACAAATGGAAATAATTTTATATTACCTTAAATTAATTTTATTCCACAATGGCGAAGGTTGGATTAAAAAATCAGAAAAGGGCGACTTCGATGTTGCACAAGGTACGTTTGATGGTGCTAGGGTTTTGAGAATTAATAAGCATACATATTTTATATGAAATCAACAAAATGTTCATATAAACAACGACAGTCTATGAAGGGATAACGGATTGATGATAGTGTCATACAACAAATGACAATATAAGAAAAGCGCTTTTCAAACTCTTCAAAAGCCTCGACTTTGAAATACAAGTCGAGATGAATAAAAAAAAATGTCAAATATTTGGATGTAGAATTAATTCTACAAACTGTCAGTGTTTCCCCATACATGAAACCAACACAAAATTAAAATACTTCAATGTTAGATCCCACCCCCTTGCAAGTATTATAAAGCGATTCCCCAAAGGAATAGAGTCCAGGTTATCTAGAAATTCCTCTAGTAAAATAATTTTCGAAGATAAAAAGAAAGTATATGAAAGGGATTTAAAAGAAAAGGGACATAAAACCAAACAGGAATTTAAACCTCAAATAAAGCAACAAATGAAGAACAATTCGAAGAAATGAAAAAATATTATTACACGATTTGTTAAAAACGATTGGATTGCCACATCGGCCCTGAGCATCTAAAAAGGGAAAGTATGCTAAACAAGTTTCATTTTTATCTTTTTGTCATCATAAATGATTCCTTTTTACTTGTTTACTATCCATCTTTCATCCTTTCTCCTGTTAAATTCTCCTCTTTTCGTGTTTTTAATGTTGCTGCTAAATTCCCATGTTTATTGTGATGATCACTTGGTATCAATTCTTTAATGATTTGGCCATTTTCTCTCTTGAAGACTCTTCATCGAATCCTCCACTATCCAATCGCTTCTTGTTTGTTTTGTCTCCTTCCTTTCATGTCCTCTAGAAATTTATATCTTTCCTTTTTATTTTTGTTCAATTTTATTAAAGAAATATCAACGGAATCCGTTTCCTTTTTACTGTCGGAAATGTCAGATCTAGAAAACAATCGACAGATACATAGTCCAAAGAACATTATTCGGCGACAAATGTTCTATGATCTCATTGGTCTATTTCCGGTATTAGTTTAGATGACGACGCATGCGCAATCAAATTAAAGAGAACGTGTGCAATATGGTAATTTAAAAAACTGGAGATCGATAAAGGAAGCATTAGAAATTGAAGAGCTTCATATTTAAGTCAAGAGAAAGAAAGAAAGAAAGAAAGAAAGAAAAGGAAAAGGAAAAAGAAATTTGATTTAAAGATATAGGAAATGATGCTTTAAAAAGAGTAGTAAGAATTATATTTGAAAAAGTTGTGAAAATAAATATATCAAAATAAATAAATAAATAAATAAAGAAAGAATGAAAGAAAGAAAGAAAGAAAGAAAGAAAGAAAGAAAGAAAAAAGAATTAAGAGGAAGACAGTTTCAGGGCAAACAGAAATGAAAAATAATTACATAAGGAAAGAAAGAAGGAAAGGAAAAAAGGAAGTAAAAGAAAGAATATCTTCGGCCAACGAGGAATGGAAAAGAAAGAAAGAAATAACGAAAGAAGGAAAAAGTAAAAGAAAGAAATTTTATGGGCAACTAGAAACAGAAACGTGGCAAAGAAAGAAAGAAAGAAAGAAAGAAAGAAAGAAAGAAAGAAAGAAAGAAAGAAAGAATGAATGAATGAATGAATGAAGGCAAAAACTAAGAGAAATATTTTTTCGTGCAAAGAGAAATTGAAAGGAAAGACAGAATGAAAAAAGGAAAAAAAGAAAAAGAAAATAATTTCGTGTAACTAGATATTGAAAAGAAAGAAAGAAAAAAGAAAGAAAGAAAAAAAGAACGAAAAAAAGAAAGGAATGAAGGAAGGAAGGAAAAAGAAGAGAAATAATATTTTCGAGCAACGAGGAATGGAAAAGAAAGACAGGAAAAAAGTAAGAGAAATATTTTTTTGTGCAACAGAGAATAGAAACAGGAAGAAACAACAAGAAACAATAAGAAAACAAACAGAATTATTTTTGAGAAAAGAAGAAAATGATTTCAACTGAATAAAACAACAACAAATATAAAAAATGAAATCACACACACACACATAAATGCGCTGAAAAGTAATTAGAAAAATAAAAATAATTTCTAAAATAAAGTTGTAAAGTGCAAATCTTTAGCCTCGAACATCTGAAAAGATAAAAGGTAACGACATTCTTGTGATCAGGTTTTCTGTGAAGGCCAACGAATATTATTTTCTAAGGCTGCCCCGGTGGTGACAACCAAAAGTCAAGCGAGTCAAAACAAAAATTTCAATAAGAAAGTCAGTCGAATTTGTCTTTTTTTTCTTTCTTTATTTGTTTGTTTCTGTGATGGAGAAATAAATAAAACGGGAAATAAATAGACTAATGAGAAGCTGGAATAAAGACAAAATATGGTCAAAGAATTTGAAAGGAAAATAGTTGGGGAAAGAAACCAAGAGAATTCTATAGTATAAGAAAGAAAGAAAAAAAGAAAGAAAGAAAGAAGAAAAAATTATTTCATTAAAGAGGAAAGAAAGATAGAACAAAATTCATTGTCATTATCAGTAACAGAAACAAATGGGAGAAAGAAAGAAAAGAAACTGGCTGACATGTGCAGAATAAATAAATAAAATAAATAAATACGGTAAGATTCTAAGTAAAACAAAAGAAAAATAGAAAGAAAGAAACTCAGTAAAGTTATATGAAAGAAAGAAAGAAATTAACTGAGTTTGGTTATGCTATAAGGAAAGAGGCAATGAAAGAAAAAAAAATCGGGTCCGTTATTTGTAAAATAAATAATTAAATAAACGAACTCTGCAGAATTGTAAGTAAAACAAATGAAAACGAAAAAAAAATCGCAAACATTATAAGAAAGAAGGAAAGAAAGAAAGAAAGAAGGAAAGAAAGAAGGAAAGAAAGAAAGAAAGAAGGAAAGAAAGAAGGAAAGAAAGAAAGAAGGAAAGAAAGAAAGAAAGAAAGAAAGAAGGAAGAAATGAACTCTGTAGACTTATAACTAAAACATAAGAAAAAGAAAGAAAAGAAAAAGAAACTAAGTATCATTACAAGAAAGAAAGAAAGAAATAAGGAAAGAAAGAAGGAAAGAAAGGAAGAAAGAAAGAAAGAAAGAAAGAAGGAAAGTAGGAAAGAAAGAAAGAAAGAAAGAAGGAAAGAAAGAAAGGAAGAAGGAAAGAAAGAAGGAAAGAAAGAAAGAAATGAAGAAAGAAAGAAGGAAAGAAAGAAAGGAAGAAAGGAAGAAGGAAAGAAAGAAAGAAATGATTGTATTCTTAAATAAAATCCGCAAGTAAAAAAAACAAAAAACAGATTCATTTGACACAAGAAATATTAACGTTGGAACTCCTCCTTCCTTGTCATAATGCTTAATGCTTTGATAAGAAATGAATCACGAAGATTGCGCATTATACAGAGGAAACTTTAGGTGAAAATTTAAGTGGAGATCACGAATTAAGCTTCAGATTTAACGATCAACACTCGAGTCTACACATATGTATGTGTGTAAAATTTCAGATATAAATAAAATTTATCTGTAAAGAGACAATACGAATAAAGAAATAAAAAACTTATCTTATTAAATAAGAAGAGAGAATGTGCAAATGGTTATAATGTGGATTTTTTAAAAATATATATTATTCTTTATTTTCCATATTTTTTGCTACACGTGTTTACGGTCTCGCGACCTTCGTCAGGCAAAGAGTGATTATTTTCACATATTATTAAAAAGAATTAATTTTCCTGTCTTTTATCTTTAGTAGTAACCCGAAAGTTTTTGGGACATTTGTCTTTTGTTTGTAGTAGTAATCTAAATGTCTAAGAAAAACATGCATCTTTTTTTTTTAAGCATTTCACGCCATGTAAGAGGCGAGAGTGCCACTAGCATGCAAGGGCTTACAGAGAGCAAGAATAAAGAGGGGTGTTTGAGTAAAGGATAAAAAGATGGATGGGGATCAGGATCAAGTCTTCAGAAGATATCGATTGACATTACATTTGAATATTTGAAGATTATAGCTACCAGGGGAAACAAGTAAGAGGAAGAGAGTTCCACTGTCGGGAAGTGCAAGAGAAGAAGCTGTTGGAGTAGAAGAGACGGTTACATTTAACTATTTTGACAGTGACAGTGTGGGACCGAGATGACAACCTAGTAGCACGCTTAAATTCATGCATTTGGGGTGCGTGCTAGGCTGGTTACCATAATATTTAACTCATGACTAAGTGTTACTTTTCTCGATGGTATTTGTGCAAATGTGAATGCAACAAACTCGACTTGATTAGAAATTTCGTGTTCGTAGCTGCAAACCATTACACCACTGTCGACACAAGCAAAGCAATATGGGGAACAGAAAGTCTTTTCCTATGAGCAGTGACACTCACCCCTATGTTGAGACCTTGGATCTTGAGAACTTTATATTAAATGTCTTACTCGCTGTCCATAACTGATATCCGAAAGGAAGATAACTTTTTCGAATTCCACGGTGCTTTTATGCTCACCTGTCACTTGAAAAGAAAAAAAAACACTTTTGTCAGCCATCTTTTATTTATTTATTAACGTATGTGTGTGTGGGAATGTTACAAACTTCATATTGTAAACAATCTGAAGAGGATTATGGTTAATTATAAATTCAATTGTCGCATAGATTTTTGATGGATCTCTCGTTAAATAACTTTTTTTTTTTGATAGATCTCTCGTTAAATAACTTAAATATTTCCGGCCCAAAACAAAATAAGTTAAATATTTTGCCCCCAAACAATTACTACAAGGTTATTACATAAATTCATTCGTTCCTTTATCATTTATTTTACTACTTATTATTTATCAACAGTTCTAATGAATCATTGCACAATATATCCATCTTCATTGTTTCGGACCTCCTGCCAACAATCTACTAATTGTTCAATACGTCGACGGCAGAAATCCTTAGGCTTGACTCGAAAAATTCATCAAGCCACATTTTATGCTCCACATCGTTATCGAACAAAACACCCCTCAAATTGTTACAAAGCGAACAAAAATCGTGTTAGTCTAAAGGGGCTAAATCAAGATAATATTCTGGGTTTGCTAGAATTTTCAAACCCAGCTCTTTAATTACATGTATGGCTGTGTCAGCGAGCACTATCATGTCGAATAATTAAACTGTATTGCTGATCAGGGTTTTTCAGCTTAATTGCTTCTTTGAGGCTGTTCATTTGATCAACATACAGCTTAACATTAACCCTTTACTTGCTTTGAAGGATTTAGTATCTGTCGATAATGAAGCCATCTCCTTACGCAGTACAAACGTCTTGAGCAGTTTTGTGACCTGGATTAAAAACAAAGAGATGTTGAACATTTCTACTTGGCATTCCATATCAAAGCGCTGTCTAATCTGAAATAAAATTTCAATAACGCTACAAAACAGTTTCACAGGATGACTAGAGTTACTAAGAAGTTAAAAATGCCACGAAAGATTATTCTTCGAGAGCATTCACAGAACATCAGAAAAAACGAACGAATATATGGAAAAACCTAATAAGCTTAAAATGGAATTCATAGGAGCGACATTCGCCAAAAATCCTTCAAGGATTTTTCTGTATATTTTTTCAAGCAATTCACCCCAAGCAAGGTGGGAGTTCCACTAGCATTCAAGGAGTTACAGAGGATTGAGAACAAGAGTAAAGAGGCATGTTTGAGAAAAGGATACAGAGAAGCTCAGGATCTCAGATGTCGATTGGCATTACACTTTAATATTTGAAGATTATAATCATCGGGGAAGCAAGTAAGGGGAAGGGGGTTCCACAGACGTGAAGTGCAAGAGAAGAAGCTGTTTGAGTAGAAGAGGCGGTTTTGACAGTGAAAGGGTGGAACTGAGATGCCAGCCTGGTAGCTCGCTTAAATTCATGCAGTCTTGGAACCAGCGTAAGTAGCTTGTCGGGACAGTTGCCGTGGAATTATGTGTAGAAGAGACAGAGGGAGGCCACGACACGTCTGTTGGATAGCGATTGCAGACTAGATGCCAGATCAGGACATATCATCTTGCATATTCGACTCTGGATTTTGTCAAGGCAAACAGCGGAAGCATCAGACCATATATGGCAGCAATATTCCATGCAAGGGCGGATCGTTGATTTATAGATTTGAAGGATGAACTCAGACGAGAAAGAATTTCTGGCACGACACACAGAACCAACTTTCCTTGTGGTAGATGAAGCTATTGATTATTGATTCAATGTATGTATTTACTTGACCCCCCCCCCCACTGAGTCAGTTTGTGACACAAGGTCAGTTTTTAACGTCGGGATCCGAGTGTCTTCACTCGGACCGCTGGTCCTAACTGGTCATAGCTTGTCCAAGCTAGTCATAGCTATGATACTACCAGCGCAGGGACGGATCTCTGTGACCGGTAAGTATCAGAATGTGTATACACCTCGAGGGAGGGGTTTACACAACCAAATTGAGTGTGTAAACAATCAATTTGATTTAATCAGCAACTGATGCATTGTACTTATTCCACCTCATGTCAGTGGGCAGCGTGAGACAAAGCAGGCGAAACAAGGCGCTCTTGAGGAATTGGTAATCAGCTATTCTGATGGGAAGCAGGGTGGGTTCTCTGTGGTGGCTAAACGAAAGCAGTTTCGTTTTGCAGGCATTAAAGTTTACATGCCATTTCCTGCCCCAGTCAACCACAGATTAGAGAATTTCCTATTAGTGTTCAAACACTTGTCGTTTATTTGCTCAATACAAACGTTTCTTATTGCGAATATTTACTAACCACGTAATTCCTTTGCTCTTAATTCTGGCTTTTCTCCTGGGATCCTCCACGGTTCCAAAATGCATGAATTTTTCTTTCTCTTCTGTTGGTTTCTACCTCACCCAACTCTTGTTACGTCTTTGCTTTGAGAGCGAGAACGTCTTTTGTGAAACCTGTTTACTACAACTGTTTTTGGACCTCATGTAACGGGCAGTGGAGTTCTATGCCGCTTTGAAATCTTCAGTTCCTCAAGTTGGTTTCATTTCTTGCGAAGGTGTTCCGTGACGATTTCTTTCGAGACCATCGTAGCTTTGTTTCTGGAGACTGTTTACCAACAGGGGACTACCAAAGAATCGTTAACCTACAGAGAATTGCACAGGGGTCTTATTCTCTTCTGAGAGGGATTATTGCTCGAACGACATTTGGGACTCAAGATCACCTTAGATGTCAAGTAGAATTTATATATATGAGTCATTGCTAAATTGACAGGAAAAAAAGGTCGACTCCATGTATCAATTCAGAAAGTATCAGACTCACTTGCAAGAATCAAATCAAACCAAAGATGGAAAATTGCAGCCATATCTGAACTGGAGCAGTTTCTTGTCTAGCGTTTTGTGTGACGACTATTTTCCAATCAGTAACCCCATTCGCACGGACGAAATATTTCAAACATATCGCTACTCCATCATTGTTTTAATGGCAAATGTTCCTTAGTTCCACTAGATTGGTCCTTTACATCTAAGACTTGTCAAGCCACGTACACATGGTCGAATCATCCTCATTTCCTTCGTATTCCATTTGTAAGGAGGAAGTTCCATTCGAACACCTTCTTCCCGAGGGTAGGTATTTCATGGAACAAACTTCCAATAGGACACTTCTTCAATCACCACAATCTTAAACTATAAAAGTCTCGAAATACACACATTTAAAACTGCAAGTGAATCCGAATTATTCGACCTGTGGTCCCGAATATATTGACTCTGAAGATCATCAATCAGTAGGCTTTTATTCATTGAGACACACGGGTGACAGATAGCGATCTAACAAATCGGCCTTTTGTCTAATTAATCCGTGTTTTCATTAACTTTTCCCTGAAGAAAATAATCTCTTCAATTTCTTATCCTCAGTTATGTAGCAACAAAACAATACTTCGATCAAAAAATGATGTTTTGGTTTGAGATTCTTGTAAATCCTTGACGGATTCCGATCTCTTTTTACTGTTAGTTTTTAATATTATTTTTTTAATTATGTTGGCTATAACGTTTAAAATATAATGAAAGATTTTGATGACAGGTTTAGAGAATGCGAAATCAGAGGCAAAGTTTGTAAGCCGAAAGCTTTGCGTATCTGCAATATTATTTCTGTATCTGTCTATATTTCCGAGATGAGGTATTATGTACACTATTTAAATTATTGGGACTATTGTCCTCATCTTTGTCGCCATATTTATTACAACGTTTCGGCCGTTGTACGCTCCGGGGTAGACTGTTCTAGTTCCACGTGCCATGTTTAATGAATGTCGATTATCAGTTATCTTCTGTTAATTTCCCTCTAAAAGTTCTCCACTGCCTTAACCGGGTACTGAACCCAGTGAGCGAAATAAAGGGTTCAGTTCGACATTCCAACCACCTGAAGAAAACAAGACCGAACAACGGCCGGAACGTTATAATAAATATGGCGACAAAGATGAGGACAATAGTCCGAATAATGTAAATAGTGTATCATTTCTGTAATGTGCGTCTGAGAATTTTCAAGAAGCAAAAGTAGTTTCTTTCTGCAGAATAAATCTGGCTTTTGATTTAATTCTTTAGATTTCCAATATTTGGCATCAAACATTGAGATTTGTTTTTACTTTGATTTTCAGAAAATATTTTAATGGAGCATAACTGTTACAAACAATCAAACACTGACCGCAATCGTTTGTTGTTGCGACGTTAGCTTTGGAAAATGATTCGAAAACTTTCTCATAGTCAAGCGATTCGGCAAATCATTTCCGGTTGTATAGGCGACACTCCTTTTGTAATCAATCAATAAAATGGATACTTTTTGTTCCGCAACAACAGAATGGAACAAATTTAGAAAAGGTGACTTTTGCTGATTTTCAATCAGTTCATGTACCACTAACTTTTCTAGTCTCTTTCTGAAGGCACTTCATATATTTGAAGATGTCAAATGCAAACAAAATACAATGCACGGACCAATTAAGATCAAGATGACTTGAAAATCATTCCACTCCCGGCAAGGCGATAATGCCACTAAGACGCAAATGGTTACTAAGCGTGAAAGAGAAAGAGAAAACTTTATTGAAGATAAAGAAAAATAGTTAATCATTTACTCATAGACAACTAATTTTGCTACAAGTTCCAATACGTACAGTGTGGCTCGAGCACCTGCATGTGTCACTGTAAAGAAAGCTTGACAAACATTCATATGGGGCACCACGTAATGTTGTAACTCTTAGCAGGGTAATAAATTTTAGTTTGGTTATAAATCGAGGTTATATTTTACATTGGCTCAAAAATGTACTACTCATGGAGGGTAGCTGCAAAGTCCATACTATAACCGTGCTGTGTAGCGCTTTCTATCGTTTTTGCCGTTTAGTGGCTGGAGTTGTTGCGCTTCTGAAATTCCAACAGCATCAGCGCTCGTCGAGCCAATTTAAAAGGCTGGGTTGTCTATATTCAACAGCACAACTTATCTTCATTAGGTACACGTCAATGCAAATCATTTGTGTTAGAAAGTGATCCTCTGAAATCATGGCGTGATCTGGTCACGGGACTTTAAGTATACGTGTAAGTGTTTTTAACGATGAATGCCAATGAAAGAGGACATTTATCCACATGAAAAATGAAAAGTAGTTCATTCAGGAAGTCAGCAAAAACAACGGACAGAAACAAGCAGAGAAAATCAGATTTTAGTTTGATTCTAACGGCATAATAGTTGTCAAACGATTTGACTAAAGAAAGTCCTCATATTTTGGCCAACCTCTCATTTTCTCTTGAAGCACAATTCCCAATGCTGTTTGCGTTATACTTGCTCGGACCTTCGAATAAGACGACAATCCCTGGATTAAAATGAAGATGAAACAAGAAATGCGAAGAAAGAAGTAGTTAGCCAAGTTAATGATGACAAAATAGTAAAACAAATGTTCTATATTAAATTGAAAAAGCCTGGGTTCTACAATGTACTCAAGATGGCTGATATAAATTTATTTATGGCTGGCCACTCGTATCCGAGGACGCCTTTCTAATAGCGTGGCCAGCCAGTCCCTTTTTTAGACGCATGCTCAGGCACATTTGTTTTTGTTCAACACCGACAGAGCCCACCTGTAGTTTATACTGCAACTATACAGTTTCTGGGAAAAAGCGCAAACACTGGCGTGGACAACAGTCTGAACATGGCGAGCAGGCTCAAAACCTCGGTCGCTTAAGACTTCCCATCGACATCAATCGTGCGCATGTGCAGTCGCATCAGCATATAAATTTATTCCGATGAAGTCCGAAAGGATGTAACGCATCACAAGAAAACTTTTTCCACTTCGTCATATATATATATATATATATATATATATATATATATATATATATATATATATATATATATATATATATATATATATATATAAAGAAATGGACAAAGTCCGACAATTTATTTATTAAAAGACATTTTAATGTTTAACGTTCTTTTTATAGATACAAGTATTTAAGTAAATGCTCTGTTTATAATAAACAGTATTAAATAACATTTACCGGTCTGAATGTCCGAGAAATTTTCATAGGTACGTCAGCGTAAAGGACGGTTCCGTATAGGATGCAGGTTCGAATCCTGTCAAAGGACAAATATTTTCTATGAAAATTTCTCGGACAGTCAGGCCGGTAAATGTTATTTAATACTGTTTATTATAAACAGAGCATTTACTTAAATACTTGTATCTATAAAAAGAACGTTAAACATAAAAATGTCTTTAATATATATATATATATATATATATATATATTATGGAAATTTCAGATGAACATTTAGTTAATAACTGCGTGTCAGGCTACAGACTTATTGAACAACGTTAGTAAATAAGCTGTATATCATATAATTTCAAGTTAGGGGGATATTGACAAGGAAAGTTGGCGTAGCACAATCTTCCTATGCTAGATTGCCTACATTATATATTGCCATAAGTGAAACTTAAATAACAATGATCTCCGACAGTCTTATGACAGCGTGGGCGCGTATTTTTTCGCACATTATGACTATGTCCGTTCTAGCACGCTGACGTGGTGTAATAGTTAACAATCTTGTCTTGCTAGATCAAATACGACTGTAGTGTGTTCGATCCTCACTGGATGCGCCACACATTCAGCTTTGTGCCACATTTAAGCTACGCTTAGAAAATAACTATAGCTCTATCCATTCTATCATATTCTTGTTTCTTTAAGAAACGCAGCAGATTCAGAAAGAATGAACGAATTAATAGCTAAGGTAATCGTAGAAATCAAGAAAAAGAAACTTTCTTTAAACTGTATAAAGAGAGACTGCATAGTTGTCAGCAAAAGAGACCTTTCAAATTCCATGTTACATATGAGGGATGTCAAAATTTAACTCTGTCGGTAGTGAAGTGACAGACGGTGGAAAAGGTAATGTTGGAATGCGAAGGCAAAAGATGCCTTTCAGAATCCTGAGAAGTATAAAGGAATTGTAAATATTTATAGGGGAAATTTTTACAGTTTGTTGGTATTATCCTCTCCGCTTCGCAAGTCATTTATATTTGTAACTATTTATGACTTCAAAGAGAAAGTGTGGTCATAATTGGAACGAGAAGTGTAAATTTGAAGATTTGGTGAAATATTTTCGGGTGAATAGTTCAGTGAACGTGACTAGCTCAGTTAAACTACAGGACAATAAAGAGCTGTTCTTACTATCACCCATTTTAGGTCTTTGCATCACATTTTTTTTATGTCGTTACACAAATAATTATAAAGAATAAAAGGAAATGTCTATAGAAAAAATTACTCTTTTACATTATTTGCTTTGTTCATACTGTTGTCCACATCTTTTATGTCATTTTCACGATGTCTCGGCCGTTGTTCGCTCAGGACGTTTTCCTGTGATATACATTAAAATTTCGGTTGAACCCTTTATTTAGTCTACGGAGGTATACAGTTCGTTCCACGTGCCATGCCTTTTCAGGATATCTCAGTTTCAGTTACTTCCCTTTAGTAACTCAACTTTCCAAATTTTTTGTTTCCGTCTGTGTGGACTCGCAAGTCAGTGGATTCCTTCAAAAAACGCTTTTGTCCACTGGGCCATGTGTCCTTCGTGTTCAACATATGTCGCCTAATGAATGCCGGAGATTAAAACTCCGAAAATGTTGTGAATATGACAGTAAAAATGGGGACAACAGACCGAACAATATAGTGTAAATAGTTACAGTAGCTCATCTCAGAAATATAAATAGATCCTGAAGAAAGCCGGGGCGTACAATGGCCGAAACATTGTGAATATGATAATAAAGATGAGAAGAATAGACCGGACAATGTAAATAGTGTAAATAGTTACATTAATTCATTTCAGAAATATAGACAGATCCTGAAGTTGGTTGGAGCTTACAATGACTGAAATGTTGTGAATATGACAATAAAGATGAGGACAATAGTCCGAACAATGTAAATAGTGTAAATAGTTACAATAACTCATTTCAGAAATATAGACAGATGGATTGGGATATATTATTTAATCTATATGGCAATTGATGTTGAGCAATCACTTCGCCAATGAAGAGGAGACTTGAAACGCTAGAAATATGCATCTATAAACGAATGCTTAGAATATAATGGAGAATCTATACGAGAAAGGAGGAGATAAAATAAGTTAAAAATTACTGAGCACATTGATGACAAGCTGAGAGAAACATCGAATAATCTACTTGAATTTGGATAAGTGGATGATAGAACAAATCCAAGAGAAAGAGGGGGTTGTAAGCGGAGTAATAACTGCTTGGAGCTACAAAAGACAGATAGTTGTGGAGAGCCATGATAACGCACTTCCTGTAGAGACATAGTGAAAAAGAGAGAGGTGGGGAGAGATGAAGACGTACAGCTATGAATACTTCAGACTCCATGTCTTCTGCAACTATTTTTAAGTATTTGCGAATTGGTGTCAATAGCAAGACGCCACCGACATGACTACACGTTTTGTTACTTGCTGTCTCGGTAGTTTTATCACATAGTAACAAGGAGGACTGACGCCTTTGGGAACCATCGTAGCTATTCGCACTGCTTATTCATCGAATCACCGACCGCTGCTATGGTGCTGCTTCGTTGTTATTACAGACATGCCTCGCTTTCCAATACGGTCTCTTGGCAAAACCCAGGACAGATGTTTAAATACCTGACGCTGAAACCTATGTATCCAGCCTGGATGCATACATATTGCTAGTTATTCCGTAAATAAACATCACACCCGATTCTCATTTCGAAACATACGTCCTACGAAATTATTTGAGCATATAAATAAAATATACACTCCTGTTTCAAATAGCGTTTTATGCGACTAAAGCTGTTAGGATATTGATAAACGCATCCAGCAAAAAATTCTATTGTCTTTTGATTGATCGATTCGTTTTCTACGGTTTATCAACCTTTTGCAGGTTATTTAAAGCCACAAAATATTTTTAAATTTCAAGAATACTTTTTGGAGGTAATAATGATTTAGGGATGCAAATCTTACTAATTAACCCATAGCTTGGGGGAGAAGAGGTAGATTCGTACCTCATCACAATTTGATAAACAAACAACGAATTATAATGTGGATATAAAGTGGAGGATCAATTCTCTATTACAATCAATATATAAACAGATCCATCACTTTACGACTACATTAGTTTATATATATTTATATTGCAGAGAATGTAAATATGTCTTAAAGACATGCCTGTGTACCTAATCGGTATTTCAATGAGTGACCTATTCGTTTTCTACGGGTTATCAACACTTTTCAGGTTATTTAAAGCCAGAAAGTATTTTTAGATTGTAAGAATTTGTTTTGGGAGATAATAATGTTTTAGTGATATAAGTCTTACTAATTAACCCATACCTGGGGAGGAGGTGGATTCATACTCAATTAATTTTCTCAAAACGCGACTACAACCAAACTTCCTCGTATCGGGAATTTATTACTGGCAATGTGTATTTTGAGCTGAGTTAGGAAATAAATATGTTTGACGTGTAGCGTTGGTTAAGCAAATACATTTTGCAATATACTTTACTTATGTATAGTTTTTGATCCTAGCTTGAATGATGGTTTTTTGCATGATTAAGGGAAAGTAAGTCGAAGATAGATAGATAGATAGATAGATATGAAGAGACTGTTATGTAGGGTGCAATGGGAATATTTGTCGCCATTTTATATTTTTAATTTCACCAATGTCCGTTGTT